AATATAATATATATATATAATATAATATAATACATATATATAATATAATAGCAGTAGGCCTTATCCTACCATTTAAAAGGACATTGTAGAGAAAAATTCTATTAGGAGTACAGAGAGTTAAAAAAAATTCAGAATCCTGTACATCTGTTTCCAAATCAAAACCAAGTGAAATGTATGTTGTAAATTCCAGAACAAGCTTCAATCATACCAAATCCAAGAAGATCCCAAACCAAAAAGTTGTGTTCAACTAAATTCATATTACATGTCTGTAAAGAATCAAATTTTAAAAAGAAACACATGTTCTTCTAGAACATATTGAATCTACGGCTTGAATTCACAGCGGCACAACCAACCAGATTTGGCCTTAATCTCTTACGAAAAGCTTGAATTGTGAGCAGGGGTTTCCCTCAAATTAGCTAACAGAGTCATTTGCATATCATGCAGCAGCTGTTTCTGTAAAGTGTTTCAGACTCTCAGGAGGTCAGATAATCATTTCTCTTTTGCTCTGTTGGTACAATCAGGCAATTAACATGTTAAATCTCTCGAAGATGTAGGAGAAGCTTTTTTTAATAACTATGTACACTCTAGTAACAAACCCCTTCCCCAACAGATCTTTTTAATAATTTCTTTCTTGAACAGAAACTGGCCAAGCCAGTCTTCTCTCTAACACACTTAGCTCTTGTACACTGACAGTAAATTAAGAGGTCCATTGTCTATATATTATAAACAAGAAAAATGGTGAGAAATTTGATTACAAAAAAATAATCTGCAGCTCTGAATAGATGTGTGTTTTCACCCTATAATGCTTCTAAATACACATTTGTTTTCTATCAAAACAGAGGAAAGCATAGAAATTTTGAACATTATCTTAATTTAGAAGTTACCAGTAATGCTGAATCCATTTTTATATCCTTGCTGTTCCACAGCAAACATCCATCCTATGATACCTCCAATAGAGGCAAGAGGTAGTAAAGAATACCCCAAAGTCTCTGGGATTGTGCTGATAGCAGTGTAGGCACGCCCTTGGTTCATCACAACATAGGAGTGGAGATCAGTGTTCTCAAATGTAACTGGAACGGGGTTGTTTCCTACAAAGATTCTTCCTCTGACCTTGCCGTTGACTCTCTGAGGAGAACCTGGAAAATCAATACAAAGCATCAGAGCAAAATAACAGTACTCTCATACTCTCCAAGGAACACATCCAGAGTGTTCACAATGTTCAGTGTTTAGTGTTGAAATAAATGGCAAACAAATACTCAGAGTTCAGACAAGAAATTGCCACGTGTTCACTTGCTTATGTAGTGAACTCTGCTTCTGTGCATGTGTGTTGTCTTATGTGGATGATTAAATGACCAAATTTTCATGAACAGGTGCCCTTTATCCTCACTGAAAATTCTGTCTGCAAGGATAACTTCATAACACTGTTACAGTATATCTGAGAGTAAGTGGCAGACAGAAACTTCTTAAGATCCCACTTCATACCAATACACACCGAATGCAAATTTGTTCATTCCCTATTAGGAGACTAACACCATTAGGTCAATAATTGACCTATTATTCTAATCTATAACATTTCTTGGCTCTGACCCATTGGCCATTTTGAAGACTGTCAGTGTTGTACAGAAGTAGCTGTTTTGGATTGCTAATTTTCTCCTGTATATAATTTCTTACATGGAAGTTTAAATTTCATTATCATCAGATCCTTTTTTTGTTTTTTCATATGGAAAATCCAATTTTATGAACTGAAAGCTAAGTATTAGGTTTTGCTTTCCTGGTTTATAAAACACAGTCCTGCAGTAAACTATTTGAGTTGTTAAAAAGCATCTGTACTCTGAGCCAGATCACTATGAGGATTACAAGTGTATACATAAGAAATTCCTTTATGGATTTTACACAGAAACAAAGTTTAAATGGGTATTTAGCAAAAATTTGGCAGATCACCCTTTAGTTAAGCAGCTTAAGAGTCAAAGAGGAGCTGTGTTCTTGGGTTCAATGATCAAAGTTAATTTGTTCATCACTTTGAACTGTCCATTTCTAGAGTGAAGACCATATCAGATTATGTTATCAGACACGTTGGAACTTCATGACTAATTCTAGGAAATACCACTGGATGTTATGCTTTCTTTTAAACCATGTCAGTTACAGAAGTTTATTTTTACTAGAAAGTCATAAAGCATATAATTGACCACTCAAAATAATTTACATCACTCAAAAAACAATTCAAAAAAAGTAGAGCTCAGTGATTCAAATGCCTTTCACTATATCTCAGTGATAAGTCTTACAGAAAGTTTTTATCAGGTCGTTTTTGGAAATGAATACAGGTCACCTCATTCAAGAATGCCATATGTAATTGTTACTTATGTATCTAAATTTAAAACCAATTACCTTCTGCTACACACTGTCTGCCATTTCCTTTGTAACCAGCAATACAGCTGCAACAAAACCCGCTGGGATAATCCTTGCAAATAGCATGAACGGAGCACTGGTGGCGGTTGTTAGCACAGGTCTGTTGGACATCTGTGTGGTACCGAAACACTGTAGAAAATAAGACCAGACATTTATATTTCTTGTAATTACTGCGGTATTCACATAGCCCTGGACTAGTTTAAAAGTGTCTCTGAACTCACTTGGTCAGCTTTCATTTTCTCTTTAAGGAAAATGAACTATTGCAATTGATATTGGCTAACCTTGCAATATGCAAATAAATTTCTACTATTTTGTAGGAAATGTCAGGGCTTCAGCTGTTTAATTATTTAGTTAGAGAACTGTTTCATTCTATCGACTTCAGCGATCTATACTAACACAAATCAGTTAAAACTCCTGTCAAAGCTAAACACACAATTATTTTAATTTGTCCTTGTTTCCAAATTAACACATTAACAAATTAATTAATTATTTAAATTAAAATAAAAAAGGGACTTTCCCACTTTAGAACAAAACATATCAGCACAGTACCGAGGACCATGCAGCAACTAGATGCCCCTGTAATCCTAACTATTTTACCCTATTATTTAATGGAGATAGAAATTCTCATGCCTTTGAGAATCTTTCTTCATTGCTTCAAGAAACAATTAACATGTAGGCAGTCAGTCACACTACTCTGAATTTTCTAGAAATGTTTTATTAGAACTTAGAGTTGCTAATTCCAGCCTTCTAAGACTTGAGGCCATGAAATCCTAGCCAAAAAGTTTTACAACATCTTCCATTTCCAACCTTTATTAAATCACCTGTATTCAGTAACACATCTGAGAAAGGTCTGTGAGCTCGATCAGGGATCTAGTTTACTAGACTGGCAAGAACTTCATCTGAGGTGATATCCAAATTAACTACCTCAATGATTAACACAAACTTATGACATGTATCCAGGTTTTTCAGACATGAAGGTAATGAGAAGGAAACGTTGTTTCTTTTGTAATTAAATTTCTTTCACAAGTCTTTTTTACAACCTGTCCCTGTCAGAAAAAGCTACACTGTACAAAAGACCTGACCTATTCCAGTTTCATCAAATTCTTCCACATCTATGACTTGAGGTGGCTGTGGGGGGAACTGCTGGATGCGAAACTGCCGAGGTGGAGCTTTTGCTGTTGGGAAATTTTGAGGACTGTAAAAAGACTCAGTTGAAGGTGTTCCTGTTACATCTTGGTATGAAGTCGGAAAGTCTCCCGCAGCTAACCGAGGAACACTGTATGTGACAAGGTGCTGATCCTCTTCAGTGCTGTCTGTACTACTTGTGATGTACTGCTGTGTTATTTCAGTGGAACCATAGTCAGATGTAAAGGGCTTAGAAGTCATCTCCTCGTCTTCTTCGTTAGGCTCCATGGTCTCCAAAATATTGCTGATTTTGGCAGGTACAATACTGTCAGATGAGCTACCAACCTCGAACACCCAGACGCCCTGCTTCCCAGCATTGCTGCTTCTGTCAAAGAGAAGCACATGCCAAATAAAGCAAGTTGTGTGGTATTTATAACCTGTACACAATGTTATCCTTCATTTCAAAGTGTCAGGACAAAACTGTCTAATTATCTTATCTACATTACATACTTGCCTACAGGTACAGTATATTCAGCTGTAGAACACCCCTGACAGTTTGGGTACCATTTTTTTTCTCCTCACCCAGAGCTCTGTTTCCAGCTTTCTTGACTCCAAAGCGGTGTGAACAGGAGATTTTAGGGCCAGAAAGATCTTGCTACCACTTACAAAAACTTTCTAATCAATACCTTTTCCTGTTTACTCCTTCTTTCAAAAAAACAACCTGCCTAGGATAGATTATGAGGAGTTGAAGTCTAGGTGGTACTATTTATAGAAGAACTACGTATACAGGAGTTCCCACCAGCGACAATGAGAATATGGACTTTTAACAAATTACACCAAAGTCCTGAAGGGCATGGATATTTATCAGAGGCAGATCTTGTGATTTGTCATGCAATGGCTAACAGGATCATATTAGTTCTCACCAATTAATACTACAATTAAGAAAACCATGGAGTTCTGATGTTATGTTGAAGAGTTTAAACAAAGAAAAAAGCATACTTGTACAGGTTTCTAATACTGTCTTCATCATTAGCAATGACATTGTAGGATCCTGGCTTTTCCCAAAAGTAGTAGTTTGTAGAGGCTTGACTAAAGCCAACCATAGCAGGAATATTTTCATCACCATTCTTGGAGTATGTACTATAGAACTGCAAGCTATCTTCTGGATAAAGGAAAATAGCATATGAACTGGAATCAGAAGAGGCTAAGACAGCCTGGAATGTGTTTCTCTGTGGAAAAAAAAAAATAATACTCATTTACTCATGTAAAAATAGTCAAGAAAGACAGAGTAAATTTTTTTTCATTTTAAACACAAAATTAAAATCAGAATTCTCATTAAAAAGAAAACATTATCAAAAGTAAATTAAATCTGTAGGAAATAGTCAGATAAGCTGCCCAAAGCATAATAATTTTAGATTCTGTACTGCTATAGGATGCTATTTCATTTCCTTAAAATAACAGCAGTGATGTGCTAGACTAAATAAAAAATTCTGTAAACAGAATGTTTAAAGTAAAGTTCAAGTTTCATGTTGCTCAAGTCTTTTCCCACAGGAACACTCCTGCCTACTGTAGGAACCACTGGGACAGCACCTCAGACATCGTGTTCATTGCTACCAGGGTGCTGAATTGTTACTGTACACACAATGCTTGTGCCAAGCTCAGCAAAAGAAATTAGTTGTTGACATAAAAAGATGTGCTAAGTAACAGTAATGTTCTCATCAGCTTTGATAATTATGCTGTACAAAGTTACATATCCTTGCAGGATAGTACCTGAATGGTTTAAAAAGGGGAAATTATTTGTGAATAATAATAAAAATAACCTCTGTTTCTTAATCTAATACTAGCTATAAAACATGAGCTTTTTCTGAATGTAGTATCATCTGTTCAAAATGAGCTTAAGATTCTACTAGTCCATATAGTTATCTGATTTTACAGCTTGATGTCAAAATGACTTAAGAGTCTGCTGAAAAATGCAAGCCAGCAAGATTACATTGCACAGAGGGAGTTCAGGATATTCTAGTTCAGTTATTCTCACAACACATTTAACATTCAAAGTAAGAGTCATTAGGAAACACAACAAAATCAGCTATGTAGTTTCAAGCATTATCTTTCAAATTAATAAAACATTATTAAAATAAATTTCAAAAATTCTGGGAACTCCCATTTTGCTACAGCCTTTTCAACAATAATATACATTCTTAGGTCTGCAGAATTCATTTAAACACAAAAAACTTCAAGCCTTAAAAGCAAAAGGTTACAGTGTTACACTATAGCTGAGCATGTGTCCAACATGACTTAAAGCTTTGATTAACATTCACCTTTTCTTCCAAAGCGTGATCTTCTCCTGGTGCCTGGAAAGGAGCCACAAGCTTCCAGGTAACAATAACAACACTGCTGGGAACAAAAGCAGTCTCAGGAAAACCTCTTTTGATATAGTCTGATGCAAGTTGCAAGACATCTGAGGATGAATCTTCTCTGTAATACACATTTCCATGTCCATCTGTTGTGTCCAGGTCGGCCATAAAAGGAGCAATAGCCCCAAAACTTACTGGGAATTGACCAAGGTATTTTTCTTCACTTGAGGGCTCATTCACTGCAATAATCCCATTAGTGGTAACCTAATAAAAAGATGAAAATTATAACACAAATACTCTTCATACAACTATTTCCCACACGTGTGTCCAGATCACAATATTTTAATTTTACAAAAAGAAATTTAATCCAAAGTCAGTTTTGTATTTAAAAAGTAACTGTGGTTTTTTTTAAGCTTTTGGTTTTTTATCCCAAGTTAGGAGTCCTGAAATTTTGGTAGCCCAAAATCAGAGGTCAGCTTTACAGACAGAACAACCTTTTTTTCCTAGATAAAGATTTTAGCTATTTGAATTTCAGACACCTATTGTCTCTTCTCACAAGGATGTACATAACCACCAATGCTTCAGAAGATGATAGAATTTCTGAGCAAAGAGCTAATTCACACATAGAAGACAACCCAAAAAAACTGCTTCATGCTTATATATTGTAATAGCCTGGGTGAAAGTCTTTTGGGAAGACATATAGATTTCTCTTTGCCTGGCCAGGACTGCTTTAGTTTTCACTTCACTACAACCACCCTCCTAGGAACTTCTCTGCTACTGTACAAGGCTAACAACAACAAGCTGCTGCTCACTCTTAACATGCTCAGCACTGAGCACAGTGCACAGCTCTTATACCAGAGGTCATGGAGTCTAGGAGATAGAATTTCCACAGCAGATATAGGCCACCCTATAAATTCCTTTACAGTTGAGTGCCCTGACACAGTCTGATAGGAAAACGGGTCTAATACTTGAAGCAGGGGGATGGGGGTGGGGAAGGAATTTACATACATAATTGAAACTCTTGGTCTGCAAATGCATAGATATTGGCTCAGGAAGATTCAACCCACCAGTGAGATGAAGAGTCACAGTCAGTGACCTCTGACTGAAACAGAGATAAATATATACGTACAGGTAGGTGCTAGGCACATCCAAGTGTGACAGCCAAACTCCACTGGCAGACCAGAGCTGGCTCTCATACACAAAAGCAGTGAGCAAGACTACAGGTGTCAGGCCTTGTGGCAGTGCCAAAGTACTCACACACAGCTTTTTGTGCCAGGACCTTCCACCAGCTGTGTCTAGCACTGACTCAGCCACATACAAATCCACCTCCAAGTCTTGGACCGCCTGATAACAGGACACATCTGACTACCTACAAGCAGCCAGGCACTCACTCTAGAGCTGCTGCCACATACACAGGGGACTCAAAAGGGGACAGAGGTCCCAGAACTGTCACTATAAGCTATGAAATTAAAACTGCAATCTCCCACAGATTTATCTCACTCACAGGGATTCTTGTGAGTCCAAGAAGAATAAACAGTTGCTGGATCTTTTTACACAGTCAAGATACTGTCAGCATGATAAAATCTTTGCAAATGTCTAGAAATGGGCCAGAATGGCCACTGACTCAGACTGCAAAGCCACCTAGCCCAGTGGCCTGTCCCCAGCTGTACCTGCTAACTTAGAGATTCAGCAAAACAAGAGGACATGCACATACTTCTTCAGTGAGCCTCCAACTGCACCCGCCACAAGGGATTCCCTGTTTGACTTTTTCATCCTCAGTGGATCTCTTTCACATATCTATTGAGTCTTCCCTTAACACATATAAACTCTATGCATCCACAAAATCCCTTAAAAAGGAACTCCACAGATTTGTGACCCATATTCTCAGGTCTCTCCTACTTTTGTTTGCTTTCAGTTTGGCTTCCAACTTCATTTGACCACCCTAATTTTTATATTGGGACATATAAAAATTCTACCCAGTCTCTCCCACTATGAAATTTCTCCTCCAGCCTACCCTGTCTAAGAGCTGTTCTTTGTCTTTGATCACTCTTATTGTCTCCCCATATTTCTTCACCTTTTTCCACTCTATAAATTTGTAAACAAGGAGGCCAGTGGGAGGCCACACATATTCTTCACAGAGAAATTATGGTCTGTGCAAGCCCATTAAGGATGCTGCCTACACCTTGGCAACATCTTTAAAATCTGGACCACCACCGCTGCTACATACAGTAAATGAGAAAAAATGTATGAGAACTCATGATACAAATCACTCCTCCATACACAAAAAACACCTATACTTAAACTCTTCTTTGGCTATCCAGAGGGTCAGAGCATGTCCCCTGCCACAGGCCAGTAGTCAGTCAGCTTGGTGTATAACTGGACAATGCCTATCACAAACCATTAGCTAAACTTAGAAAATAGTTCCCACAGTATATCAGAATTTATTTTAAAAGTGGCATTACATATGCTGACATATCTGTATTTTCTGCAGATGTATAATTTCATTAGCAGCTAGAGTGTAAAATACTAAGAAAGTTAATAATGTGAAGTTATCATATAAAAAATAGGTGAGTTGGCTTTATGCATGAACACTATATCTAAGGTATATAAGCAGTAAATAATCTGTGCATATATGTTGGGAAAGCAGGTCATGTTACAAGGGAGAAGAAGCTGAATATTGTGATAATTTTTACACTACTCATTCATGACTTGACAGTGGCCACAGATCCCAAGGTGAACTATGAATCTGAAGAATAAAGAACTAAAAAGACAGCATGGGTTACCTCAGTACACACCCTACAATTGCAGTCAGAGAAGTAAGAGAAATCTAGTCCAGAAAAGTTCCCTGAACTCCTACAACATCTATACACTAGAAAATGCTTCATAATCCTGCAAAGCAAAGCTAAAACATGACCTGAAAATTAAAACCCCCTAATCATACTGTACCACTGGAAGACAGGATGGAGAATTGTGGACATTACAGTCTGTTTGCTAAGACCTTTTAGCAAAGAGATACACTCCCTCTTTAAATTAATAAATTAAGTGCAAGTTAAAAGTTTTCATCTTCTTTCTGCTTTCTTACATTTTTGTACACAGACAACCCTACTCTCAACTAAATCCTTTTGTGAGAGATGACAGGTGTTTGAAGTATTGCAAACAAATTCCATGCCCTTCATCAGATTTGGTGTGCATAGATTTTGCAGCTTTTTTGCCCCATTTATGGTAGAGATAAAAATAGCATTAAGAGAAAATACAATCAGGACTAGTTAATAATGCAGAATAAAGCAGAAGCCAGAATAAATGGCCCTCTTCTTTTCACCTCTTAGTGACTTGCATCTAGCTATTTCTTTCCTATTTATTAAAAACTTTAATGTAAGAAGTAATTTTATTAAAGAGATTCAAACCCCATTTTTTAAAGGAAGTTTTTAAGTAGGACAGTTCAGTTTTAAATGTTCAGGGAACATTTCTGTAACCCAGAAAAACATTTGCAAGCCATCATATGAAAATAAATAAACAAGCTGTTTGTTTCAATCTTAAGGCAAAAAAAGAAACTCACCAATAATAAAAAAAAATGTTTTTAGCTTTCAAATTTAACAATACATTTATAATGTCTAAGACAGTGAATACTCCTTTAACTTCACCCTACTTCTTTCAAGGTCACAAACATCAGTTTAAGTGTGAATCCCAAAATAAAGAGAAGTAGTTTGGAGTAAGTACTGGATTTCATCAAAGCATCATTCCCTGTCCAAAGGGAAAGGGGGGAAATGAGGCCTCAGGTGGGCGTTGTCTAAAGACCAGCTTTACAGTACATCTTTCCTTTTAGGGTATAACACTATTTAAATTGACAGGAACTAACACAGATGTATTTTTAGCATGTTAAACTTCTGGATTACACACATAGTTAACATACATTTGTGGTTTGTAGCAGAAGCAATAACACACATACACAATTCTAGGTCCACCTTGAAAACCAAATGAGAAGAGGAATGCAAAGTAAGGAAGTGCTTCTATTAAAAGAAAAATCGTATCTCTGTGTGTACAACAAAAAATTAAAGTTTCTAACAAATGAGTTACTTGTTCCCTGTTCAGTAATTAGGCATTTTACAGGCTTGAATATTTCTGCATAAAAAAGTTTAGAAGATTTGAATTTATTTTTACAATGAAGTGACAGTTAACTTAATGCAGCAAAGCTTTTCAAATCAAACTATTAATTTAAGAAGTCAATAAAAGTAAGGATTAAAAAAATTGAACGAAGCTTGCATTAGAGGATTCTCAGTTCTTTCCTAAAAGGAGGTAATGCCTAATCCTTCCATTTTTCCACACCAGCGAGTTTTAGTGTAAACTGAAAAAACCTCAATAAAAGTATGCTATTAAAACAAATAGAGTAGTTTGGGTTAGTGATAGAGTTCAATGCTATAAATCTTACATACAGAAGCACCATATTGAAGATTACAATATGTAAAAGTCTGTTTCTGCTTATATGAATTAAAAGCGCTCTCTTTTGTCTATGAGAAAAGGTTTTGTTGCCAGGGATTTTATGACAAGTTGGTACTAAACAATCACTTCACAGGATGCCTTGCCTTTCTATTCACATATACAGCTAGCTTAAACAACTCAGCTTCTCAACTGTCAAAAAATATAGAAAGAGAACCCACATAAAATTGCTACTTAAAGTTACGTGCACTAAATGTTAATTGTATTAGCTTGAAAATATTTACTACCAACTAGCAATACCTTGGAAACTCCAGCCAAACAAGAGAGTAGAGCTTCATAAGTACTCATCGCAAATATACAATAAAAATGTGTAATGTGAAAATGCATTTAAAACTGCTCAGCACGTTTACTTGACAGGTATACTTCTCTCCTTACCCCCATGAAGTTTGTACTGTGTTTCTGTTCTGCAATACTTGTGCCAGATTCAGTGCAAGAAAAAGCCTCTGCATAGTGTGCAGACTGCAGACTGATACTGAAATGCCATTCATTAAAACTGCCCATTCTTAATACTGAGTAATGCTGGCAGAGCCCTGGAAGTGATTTGGAAATACACTCTACATGGGTATTCTTTCAGGCAAAAACTAATTAGAACTGTTCCTGTTTGAGGTCGGGCAAGTAACAGGATCAATAAACTAAAGAAACCTAGACTGGTTAATCAATTTACTGCTCTTTGAAAACTCTGTCCCATCTCTGTCGCTTACCTGACATGCTGCTAGTTATCTTTGCTTCTCAGTGGCTGAATATATAGCCCACTATCTTTCAAGAATATGTTTGTGCTTTTAAATGTGTATTTTTTTACTTGGGTTGACTAATCAGTGACCAAATTAGAGTACAGAAGGCAAGACAATGAACTAAGGGTCAAACTGAAGTCTGAACTCCACTTAATACTTCATCTCAGTCAGCTTCAGTGAACAACATCCATTTTCTACACAAGCATAATCCAAATCCCCCAAAGTTTTAGATTTCAGATATGATTCTAGGATTTATCTAAGTGGTGGCAGTATGGTCAATGAAAAGGAGTGTAACTTAAGTGCCAGCATTAATATAACTCATGTAGCACAAGCAAGTTCAGTGCTTCAGTGAATACTCATGAAACAGACTTGTGCATGGGAACTACATCAAATTTTGAATGACTGCAATCACATAGAGCTCTAGTGTCCCAAGTGTCTCCATGTAGGTTAATCAACTGAGTTGCATCTTGGATCCGTGATACTAAACCACACTGTTTTATCTGGACAGGGAGGTGAGATTTAGTTTACCAGATTAATACACTAAACACATTGTGCCTTGCCTACCAAAACCTTTCTAAATATGTTACTCAGCATGTTGAATTGCTAGCCTAGATGGGGCCTCAGAGGAAAAGAGGCAACGATAAAGTTGCTTTTGAGCAGCTCTGCTCCAGACAATCTGTTTTCAATCCCACCTTCAAACACTGAACACCCTCCATCAGCTATAAACATGCACACACCACTCTGGGACGCAGATCCAGGTGTGAGACACACACACAAAGCTGAGATGTGCTTGCAGCTCAAAGCATGTGATTACTATGGATATGGACTTGCTCTGCCCAAGAGACTCTTAAAGCAATGAACACCTGAGAGTGCCCAAGACATTAAGGAACAGAAAGCTCCCTTAGCTTTCTAAGGGTGCTTAGAGGTGCCAGTCTTGGACATGTTAGGCTGCTGATTAGACACTTCCTTTCAGTTTTGTGACTCTGGCATGCCGAAACACACAAATCAGACCTCAATGAGGATGTTTCTGAGCTGAACACACTCCGTATGAGTGCAGAAAACGCCTGGGGATGGCATTCACTCTGGTAAATCAATTGCATTTTCTTTACCCTCCTACTATTTATTGCATTGTCTTCCAGCGGAGGCTGTGCACCTCGAAGAATCTGCCCCGGGCACTGTGTGAGAAGGGAGTTAATACGGCCCCCATACCTGACTGAACACGAGTGGAGCAATTAAGCTCTTCGGACCGACCTCTGACTTCGGCACTCACGGAACCCACACTGAACCCACAAGCATCACCGCGCACCCACCCAAAACTCCCCGAGGAGTCCCCAGGAGCGGTTCCGACCCGCCGGCAGCCAAAGAGGGGCCCACACTCACATAGAGGGAGCGGACGGCCGCGCCGTAGAAGCGCAGCGCCGTGCTCAGCTCCAGAGCCGCCGAATGCACATCGTCCCCGGGCTCCAGCGCGGCATCGCCGCGGTCCTCGCCGTGCGGCAGCAGCTCCAGCAGCTCTGCGGGCAGCGCCAGGGCCAGCAGCGCCAGGGCCAGCAGCGCCCAGCGCGGACAGCTCGGCGGGGCGCGCATCCCGGCGGCTCCCGGCGCCAGCGGCAGCGCCGTCCCGCCGCTATAAGCGCGGGCAGCGGAGCCGTGGGGAGCGGGGGGGCTGCGGCCAATGGCTGCGAGGGGCGGGCGGAACAGCGGCCCCGGGACCCCCGCGGCCGCTCCCACAGCCCGGGCGGGATCAGCCGAGAGGTCGCTCCCGGCCCGCGGGAGAGCAGCGGAGACCGCGCAGCCCGCGGGGACCGACCCTCGGGAGAGCTCGGGGGGAAAGCTCAGCCGCTTTCGGGATCAGGGTCGCTTGTGGGGCGCGAAAGTCAGGAAGCGAAGTCGGTGCGGGGTCGTAGGCGACCGGCAGATGCTTTCAAAGCACCACCGCTCTCCGCCAGGGCCAGTGGGGTCTCTGCCTTGGTTTGGGAAATGTGTGCTCAAATTGACTCCAGCAGCTGCAGTCCCTCCCAACAGCCAGCGCAGAGAGACCAAATACCAAAATCAACATGAAACAAAAATATGAATCCCCATGCTGTCGTCTGAAATAATTTTGATACCAGGTGCTCATGGTCGGGGGAAATTAGTAAATACGTTGGAATGCGTTTCATAAATGAACATCATCCATGTCAGAATTGCATTTGGTTGTAAAATAAAACGAAAATATATATAAAATAAATCTGCAAACAAAAAATTACTGATGATATGACATACAGAGAAAATAAATATGATATATATAAATATATTGCTTCTGACTATGACTTTTTGTTTTATAGCATTGTCCTGCTCCCCTGGAACACTCAGAAGCAACTGGAGAATGAGAGAATGACTGTATTTCATATATTTTTCCTAAAACTCCCGAGTGAGGTCAGCAGTGTTTAAGGATTAAATCTTGGCCAGTAAAGTATATGCTGTTATACATCCACAGAAGGTTTACAGCAGATAATCATTTGGCAAATTGCAAGAGCACAAGACATTCCGAGAATGGCGAAACACATCTAATCACCATTATCACTACCAGCTACTTACTATTGGGTTCTGTATGTCAGTGAAAACAGTCACTGAGACAAAGTAGAGTGAAGGTCTGGGAGGAAGAGGAGTCTGCTCTCCTTGAGTTCTCACTGTATTTTCACCTGCAACTTCCCTCCGTATTTTCAGAGCCTCTAAGACAGTAACTGGTGGATGCAAGAAATCTGTGGCTTTATATAAATCCAGGAATATGTGGCTAACCACTGCAGCAAGAGCAGCCTTTTGGCTGGTTCACCACCATATCTGAGCCCACAAAGATGATTCCATCTCCAGCCAAGGTACCTTTCTCCTCATTTGGCAAATCAATACTTAACCAGAAGCCAACTGTAACTTCTCACCCACATTAAATGTGTGCACTGGCGTACCATCAGCTGCCTTCACCAGAAAATCATCTTCCTATTACAAACCTGCCTCCCCCCAGCAAAAGCCCATTTCCAAATTTGCAGAACCTAAAGGTTCTGTGCTTGTGCAAAACTCCATAGCAAGTTAACCCCCATGGTAACACCAGAATCTTATGCACACATTCACAAGAGCATCACTTCTGTTAGGCTTAATGTTTTCCCCAGTCACATTTACTACTACAGTAAGAAAGGAAGACATAAGAAAAACAAGAAGAAAACTCTGAGGGGCTAACATTTTCCTGTCAGATTCATATGATTTCCTAGTATTACGTCCAGAATTTGAAGGACAAGGACCACTGGGAAGCTAAAAAATTTAGTGTAGTAAATTTGAAATAGGTTTGAAGGCTAAAGAGTTAAATATCTTCCTCTGCATGTTTAAAACATGGGGTAATAGCCATGTTAGGGTAAACCCTTTGTCCATTAGTCAGAATATTGAGATTGTTTAGTCTATGCTTAACCTTAAGAGGATTGCATTGTTTCTGTTATAGTTACAAGTTTACCTTCTGTACAGCTCCTGCTATGAGGAGTATTAAGGATTGTTAGTTGTAAGACAAGAAAATAAGTTCCCTGTTGTCCTTTCCAGCATCTTCAATAAGGACCTAAAAAGGGTGTGGAAAAGCATGTTTACTTATGTTGTAATTAATAGTGAGATATTAATTGCTAACTTGAACCAGAAAGGAAAATGCAAAAGACTTCAGCAAGATTTAAGAAGGTATTTAAGTGTAAACTGGAATGTCATAATTGAGAAATACCTTCCAGAAGGTCTTCCATAGCTGGTAAATACCAAGAACTCCACATTTTCATTGGATAATAAATCAGATATGGCAGCAGTTTACAGAGCAACAGTATTCCCTGAGCAGCCACTGAGATCCTGTACAACAAATGAGCTGGGTTTATTTTGTTGCAAGAAAGAGAAATTTTCTAAAGGTATATAATGACACTGCTTTTCCAGAGATGCCTTGTGAGATCAGAGATGTCACAGAAAATTCACCACTGGAGAGGATTCAGACTGAAACAAAACAAAACAAAACAAAACAATATCAGGGGAGAAAAGGAAATTATATACAAGAAATTGTTAAAGAACTGAACATGTGTACTTGATTAAATGATAATGAGGAGATTTGATTAAGATCATGCTTCAAAGATATGGAGCACTTTCAACTCAAATATCTGAAGAGTGGTCCTAAACAGATGGAGGAATTAAATGGGTGATTTTGAGGATTACAGGTAACTAGGACATTGAAATAACTGAAATAAATAACTAAAGAAACCATGTATCAGCAAATGCTTTCTTACCATGGGGTCTACTTTTATATAAATCATAGATAAGGCAAATTGGAAGCAGAATGACAGAAATATTTGAGAAGATTTCTACAACACTAGGTTGATCAGATCACTAAATAATAGACTTTAAGAAATAATTCTGCATTTAACAATGAATTGAGACAGTCCAACAGATTTGACTTGAGTTTCTATGTTCATACAGTGCTAAAATATCTCACAGATATACACACACATATATTTGAGGATTTCACTGCCTAAATGTGAGGAGATTAAGAAAAGGGGGTGCAGATATAGAGAAGCCTGATGTTCTCAATCCCCTCCCCAGGTTTCATTAACAAAGGAAACAGAGCTAGTGTTCCCTTTGCTGGCATGACTGGAGTAAGGAAAGTAATGCCCTGGGCCTCCCATGATGATGTTCTGCTCTCCAGTGACAACAAAGCATTTTAGCAGATGGATCAAAGGACAGAGTAACCATGTGGTAATAAACTGGAGAAAACTGAGTATCTGGGATACTGGCAGGAAAGAATAGTGCTGAGGTCTGCTGAGAAGGAACATTTTTTAGAGAGACAAGGTCATGGGAATCAGAGAGTCACAAGCAAAGACAAGGCTCAGAGGAAGATCATGGAGTGCACATCATAAATTTAAATTACTCCATCTTAGAACTTAATGTTCATTGTTCACTAGAGTGGAACATGATGAGATTCCTTCTGTAACTCTACATGAGCTAGTATCACCAGGGAGGGTACATAACTCTGGAGCATCTTCAAAAAAAGGTGTATTTTGCAGCAGAACTCTACTGAAAGAAAGTAATTCTGAGGGACTCTTAGATGCTTTTGAGAAGAGTTTCACATCAATGGCGATATTCTATCTTGGCCTCTGCATTAGGGCAGAGTATAGAAGACTGCAGAATCCCTTCTTTTTCTCTCACACAGAGCTATTGCAGGGCAACAAAAAGGCAGCAATATTGCAGGACAATCTCATTGGAAACTCATATCCTGTTCTGGAGAACAGCTGGGCAAGAAGGGGGATGTGTTAACACTTGGCCAATCACCTGGTCCATACAGGAGAGATATGCTGCTGTGATATAATGGTACACAAGCAGCAACAGATTTCTGCCCTGGAGCAGGGCAATGAGCATGGGAGAAACAAGTTCTTAGAGCCTTCCTAGGTCTGGTGCTGGGAGACATTTTGTATTTCTGGGGTTGTCTTAATTTCTATCTCTCATTATTAGAGCTGGTAACAATATTAATAGGGAACAGGAAAAAAACCTCAAAGAGGAAGATATACTTGTACAGAATCATGAACACTTTCTTTCATCCCAATTTAAAATTTAGGAAAAATAAGATAGAAAATGGAACAGAAAAGTATCAGCACTGTAAAATGGCTAGACAAAAAAAAAGTAGTCTTACAATCTTCCCATCTGACATGTAACCATATGAAAAATATTACTTTTTTAAAAATACATATATTTTCAAAATATCCCTCTTACATCCTAATGTTTGATCTCTTTCAAAAACAGATCCTCTAATCCAGTAAGAATTCTAGAACTTCTCTGTAGTAAGAGAGAGTTGTAACCAGGCCAGAGGATATATAATTAGTCTTCTATTTAAATATTCAGCTCAGCGCTAACTACTACATCTACTGCAAGTCTTACTGCTTTGTTATTATCTAAAAGTTTTTGCTTTGTGCCATAAAAGTCTCCAAACAGACAATAAAGATTAATACAGATTTTTAAAAAACACAGTGAAGACAGGAAGACAAAATGTATGATCATTTTCTCACACACACAAAAACCAGTTATAATATGAAGGAATATTGTTTTTTAAACAATGGGAATGAGATGCGGAAAACCAATTTGAATGGGACAGGAAGACAGCTATGGAAAAGGTATAATTTACTACCTATCTTCTCCAAGACTAAAGAAATAATTACTCTGACCCACTGATAATTGTGTCAGATTTCAGACATAATGTTTAAAATGTTGGACATAATGCATGCAGCTGGCTGTAACACACCAAATATTTTAATGCTGAAAGAAGATTTTTTTTCTCTTTTTTTAAACTGTGCAAAAACTGTGAACTTTACCCTGCCTTGAAACAGTTCGGATTCAAAAAGACCCAGGAGTAATTCCATGAATTACAGCTATTTATTCTTTCTGACCCAAGGACTTATATCGCTGTTCACTTAACTTGGAATCTGCAGACTACAATACAAGCAATGGCCCACTCCCTTATTCCCAAACAGAGTTTAGTGTTTTAGACTATAAACTACAGTTTTGTCACAGAGCAGCAATAAAACATGGGGATCGGCACTAAAGTGACTCAG